CGTTGTAGGGAAAAACCAGAGCGCGTTTCAGATGTTTTGACCCCTGAACATTGCAATTGCATTGCTAACAACAGACTTGAGCGGCAACAAAACGCACCGTTCCTTGTGAAGGGACTGCTATTGCTTGCTGGTTTCTGAATAGGTGTTCAAGCAGAGCAGAATGACTTTGCAATAGTCCGCAAGTCGTTACCTTGGAGCTTGAAAACCCTACAGTAGTGAAAGGTCACGCGTTTTTGCCTGCTTTATATCGCACGTTCATGTGACAGAAGTGGTATACTCCCTGCGAATGTGGTCCTGTCCACCGAATGCGCAAGGACATGTGACGGATCACTTGATCGCGGAAATTGTCTTTTGACATCACTGCGCCACCACCCCTTTTGTTAGTGTCTTCAGAAAGCGTCAGAGCGAGCTCTTCTTTTTTTTGACAGAATGATCGCTCACAACTCGCATGGGCGATTCAGATAGTTGACCTGAATTTCAAAATTCTGTCCGGTGCTCCTAGTGAACATCTTACCTAACTCCTCCACAATCCGATTGAGGCTAAAATCCTTCAAAAAAGTTGTTATCAAAGCTTGCGCTGACGTCTTTTTTACGTTCCTTATTCTGTGGCAGGTGGTCAGAAACCCATCTGCCCCGAGGTTATATGGCATAATTGAGCGCCATTTTATGCTGTTTTTTTGCTATGGGATTTTCCGACGGTCTTAATAGGTTGTTGAAGTTAGCTGATACTTGGCCAGGTAGTAGTCCGCAGATTTTATATGTGCTTCTATAGATACGCACATACCTTGTAACCAACCACCTCTGTATTCTCCTGTTACTAGTTTAAGGACAGAGATATAAAGTAGCGAATAAGTAGACAGCGAGGGGATGAGATTGTGAGGTTCGATCCATGGATACTTGAAGACCGTTCCCGCACGAAGCTGTTCATGGACGTCCTTCCTTGTACATGACGTTTGGTCTTCAGTCTCTGAGACTACCACTTTCGCGGCTCCACAATAAGTAACGAAGGCGCTGTGGCCCTCATAAGTGGCAGTTCTGACGCCTCCCTAGTTGTCCCGCCCACCGAAACTCAAAGGCTATTTTCTGTCACGAGTTCAGTTTTACACCGCGTTTTTAGCTTTTTTCTTTCACTGTTAGACATAAGAGACGGAAAACACGTAGAGACGATTAGTGAGCCACAGGCGGCAGGGTGTCGCTTTGCTAGCTAAACAGTAGGTCGGAGAAACGGCACACTTGGGCTGCCAGGGTTCCTTAGGGTGTTCTCTATGATTTCTTTGGTTTTTTTTCTTCCCTGCCATGTCACTGAGAGACTATAGGTTTGTTATTGAATTTGGCTATCCACAATATACAGTTGCATGGTTTATCTTTAAACTAGTGAGTTTCCATCAGTACATAGGAAGTCACTGCCACAAACTCTGAAAAATGGCTTCAATATCGGGTTTGTCTCCGTAAGCGGTAGCAAAACCGTTGTTTCTGATTTTCCTCTCTATCCACACAGATGTTATTGGAATTGGAGGTCAACACGCTGTGAATATTGAAGGTAACAAGTGAACCGTCTCGGAAAAATCTAGCTGTCTTCGAATGGGCAATGACAGCGTGCGAGCTGCTCGATGGACAAGCTGTTATCTGTTGCAAAAGTGGGAAGGATCGAACTGGCATGGCTGTCACAATAGAACAAGCACGAGTACTCCGCGAAACGTGCGGGCTCAACGCAGCACAGGTTTGTTGATATATGTTTATATGAATTCTAGTCTCTGCGCTTTGCAATACAATACAAATTAACAGTCTTGCATTACTATCAAAAACAACGCGTTGTATATAATGTGCGTCGGTGTCGATGCACGTTTTGTGGGCTGTCTTTCTTGGACATTCGTGCGCTGATAGTTTACGTCAAAGATGTGTTGGTTGCATGCCATGTTACAGTGCATTTTTATGTCTTGCAATAAGGCAGCGTTCAGACTTCGCAAAACACGCTGTAACGCGCGGGGATGCGCTGTAATGTGCTGTGACACGCTTCGACACGAGACGCTCCAAAGCTATAGACGTGAGCGCAGCCGCAGACAGAGAG